TGGCCAGGTTTTTTGTTCGCTAGAGAGCGATTACCGGGCTCCAACGGCGACTCGAATCCGATTCGAAATTTCCTTTATTTTTTCCGGGATTCGCGCGGGGAAACAAGTAAAACAAAAATTATGAAGACTCCAGTTCGTTACTTCTACCCATTTCATTATTTTTCCATCTTTCCTGAATACCAGCAGCCTCTCGTTTCTTTCTTAGCCTTCAATAAATGAAACGAAACGAAGTTGATTTTGTCAGACGCATGCTGCAGCACTGCATGTGCGCATATGGCAACCCTGCATGGTCACGGGAGAGCCAGAAGTTGGCGGGCGGATGTGCTGCACGTGTTGCTCGGTTCTTCCTCGATTCGTTCCTTTGTAACAAAAATTTATTTCAGGTTCTTGGACGATCTCCCGTGTTTATTCCTACGTGGTGCCCGATCTCAGCTTCGTAATTGTCAACTTTTGGCTTCCCCAGCTTGAGTATAACGAAAAGTGGCAGCCCTAGTCCAAAGACCGTCCATGTTATTTTCTCCAGGCCTACCGATGAACCTGAATTTCCCTCTGGAAACTTTTAGATATCCTTAGAGTTGAAGTGGCTGAAGCGCCAGCGCCATTACTTTGGAATTCATGTTAAAATCATTGTAGGCCCAACTTGGACTTGCTTCAGTGAAGACGCATTAACGTTAAGCGGAAGTGGTTCTTAGAAACAAAGGAGTCCATTTCAAGTCAAGAATCATCTGTTGCTCTTTTTTCTTTTTCTTTGAGCGCATGTTCCGGTTCCCACTAGTTATATTATTTATATATTTTAAGTATTCAATTTATTTTTGGTTTTTAGTTTTTGTTCCTTTTTTTTTCAAGTTCAAGAAACATTTAGTTTATTATTTTAAGTTTAATTCAAGTGAAAAATCACAAATTTATTCATATATTCTCGTTAATTTGAGCCTGAGCCCTCTATATAAGGTGTTGTATCTATCTTCATCTTGGGACCTGCAGCTGACTGCTCATGCCTTTCTCGGGTATAATTTGTTATGCCAAGCCCCCCCTCCCACTCTGGTAATTTCACTGTTCCTTTTGTCAGCCACATTTCCTCCCCTCCAGTGTTTCCCATGTTTGCCTTGTCAACCTCTTCTGAGATGAATTAGGTCTAATTTTTAAAATGTTTGGTAACTGCCCCATGGTAACAATCCCATTTGTCCTTACATATTTACTTGTAGGATGTAGTGGCTTCATAAAGTTACCAGAGTTGCTTAAGGATGCTTTAAACTGCTGCTGCATCCATTCTAATATTCTTGTAAGAGGGACCCGTCAGCTGGAAAAATAGCATTTGCACAATTATTTTCGAGAAGGTTTGTTACCACTAGGTATAATTTTGCATATTCAGGAATCGGATGAAGGGAGACCATGAGTGAAAGTGGATGGGGCTCACATTCCTGGGATAGGGTGGGCAAATGATAAAAATATCCCATTATTGCAACTTCAACCTGCTGCATTTTGGGATGGGAGTTGGGGGGGGCGGAGGGGTTGACATAATGAACTATAATTTCAATACATTCATTTTTATCAAGTTTGTAATAATCTGAGATTGGAGTGGTCATATATGTATGTACCTATATGTTTTATATTCAGCACTTCATTAAAAAAAATCCACTGAAAAGATGCAGGGAAAAGTTTCCAAGAACCTTGGCCTATTAGGCCTTCAAAAGAATCTGAATGTATTACTATTATTAGAGGTATAGCTTTATTTGTTGGCAAATGAGATGTCTTAGGAAACTTGAGATTGGCTCTTCCTAGACCCAGTTGGTCTGTAAGATGGGGGTTGAGACTCTTGCCTGAAGAAGTATAGCCTTAAACCTTGTATAGGGAAAGGCCTTGGTTGGGCCTAGGCCTAGAAACTCCCAATTCTCTTTCTGAATTCTAAATCATCTTTGATGTTGCATTTTGGGTGAAAAATTGAGGATTTAGAAACAAGAAACACTTGGCCTTCATGCAAGAGGAGTAAAAAGGCTTCAGAAAAGAAGGCTTTTATATATATACATGAATTTCATTTTGCAACCTGACACCTACCTAATATTCCTAGTTTTTGGAAACTTTTGAATGCCCAATTTCCTCCACTTATAAAAATAAAGCACATGAGAAATGTAACCATAATATGGTGAACTTTGTCAGTGGATCTGTTGTTAGTGTGTTTCACATGATGACTTGTATCAGTGTTGAGATGCACTGGCATCTATGGCCCCTATGACGACACTTCATAGATATACTTAAATTGCCATATGTGGGGCAGTATAGGCCTTGTCATATTGTTCAGATTTTTTCCCTTCGGCAGGTGTAATACTAGAAAAGGAAAATGGGAAAGAGAAAGGCAGCAGGAAAGAAGGAGAAGGCTGTTGGTGAGATTCCCTCCATTCTCTTGATTGATTAACCCTTTTAACATGCATTGAATTTGGCTACTATAACCAATGTCATAGAAGCTGTAATCGACAAACAATAGTGGCTAAATGACTCAAATATTTCAGGCTGTGATTGACTCATAAGGAGTTCTACTGCCAATGATGAAGTTGCTTACATTTTAGGGTCATTATTTATCACCCAGCCATCCTTTAGTGAAGGGCCTCAAGTCTGTTATATCTGCCCAGCCTTGTTAAGAGGGTTAAAGATAATAGATGAAGACTGATACAATGTGTGAGATTCATCCCCAAATTTCCCATGCATCACTATACATTAACTGGTTAATTTTTATTTCCTACTTGCATTCATTCAACTTTTGGAATTAGCAGGAATTTCATAAGAATGTCATTTATTCAAAGGCAGTCTGAAGGGGAATCAGCTTCNCCATTTCATTATTTTTCCATCTTTCCTGAATACCAGCAGCCTCTCGTTTCTTTCTTAGCCTTCAATAAATGAAACGAAACGAAGTTGATTTTGTCAGACGCATGCTGCAGCACTGCATGTGCGCATATGGCAACCCTGCATGGTCACGGGAGAGCCAGAAGTTGGCGGGCGGATGTGCTGCACGTGTTGCTCGGTTCTTCCCCGATTCGTTTCTTTGTAACAAAAATTTATTTCAGGTTCTTGGACGATCTCCCGTGTTTATTCCTGCGTGGTGCCCGATCTCAGCTTCGTAATTGTCAATTTTTGGCTTCCCCTGCTTGAGTATAACGAAAAGTGGCAGCCCTAGTCCAAAGACCGTCCATGTTATTTTCTCCAGGCCTACCGATGAATCTGAATTTCCCTCTGGAAACTTTTAGATATCCTTAGGGTTGAAGTGGCTGAAGCGCCAGCGCCATTACTTTGGAATTCATGTTAAAGTCATTGTAGGCCCAACTTGGACTTGCTTCAGTGTGAAGACGCATTAACGTTAAGCGGAAGTGGTTCTTAGAAACAAAGGAGTCCATTTCAGGTCAAGAATCATATGTTGCTCTTTTTTCTTTTTCTTTGGGCGCATGTTCCGGTTCTCACTCGTTATATTATTTATATGTTTTAAGTATTCAATTAATTTTTGGTTTTTAGTCTTTGTTCCTTTTTTTTTCAAGTTCAAGAAACATTTAGTTTATTATTTTAAGTTTAATTCAAGTGAAAAATCACAAATTTATTCATAAATTCTCGTTAATTTGAGCCTGAGCCCTCTATGTAAGGTATTGTCTCTCTCTTCATCTTGGGACCTGCAGCTGACTGCTCATGCCTTTCTCGGGTATAATTTGTTATGCCAAGCCCCCCCTCCCACTCTCTGGTAATTTCACTGTTCCTTTTGTCAGCCACATTTCCTCCCCTCCAGTGTTTCCCATGTTTGCCTTGTCAACCTCTTCTGAGATGAATTAGGTCTAATGTTTAAAATGTTTGGTAATTGCCCCATAGTAACAATCCCATTTGTCCTTACATATTTACTTGTAGGACATTAGTGGCTTCATAAAGTTACCAGAGTTGCTTAAGGATGCTTTAAACTGCTGCTGCATCCATTCTAATATTCTTGTAAGAGGGACCCGTCAGCTGGAAAAATAGCATTTACACAATTATTTTCGAGAAGGTTTGTTACCACTAAATTATACCATGCAAAATTAATGGTGATCCATATTAAAACGTATAAGTCCTTAGCCTACTTCCCTCTGGTACTCACTTTCACCTACCCCGAGTGTAAGGACCCTATCCCACCCGTTTACTATTTTTATAGGGTAATAACGTTGAAGTACCTGCTGCATTTTGGGATGGGAATTGGGGGGGGCGGAGGGGTTGACATAATGAACTATAATTTCAATACATTCATTTTTATCAAGTTTGTAATAATCTGAGATTGGAGTGGTCATATATGTATGTACCTATATGTTTTATATTCAGCACTTCATTAAAAAAAATCCACTGAAAAGATGCAGGGAAAAGTTTCCAAGAACCTTGGCCTATTAGGCCTTCAAAAGAATCTGAATGTATTACTATTATTAGAGGTATAGCTTTATTTGTTGGCAAATGAGATGTCTTAGGAAACTTGAGATTGGCTCTTCCTAGACCCAGTTGGTCTGTAAGATGGGGGTTGAGACTCTTGCCTGAAGAAGTATAGCCTTAAACCTTGTATAGGGAAAGGCCTTGGTTGGGCCTAGGCCTAGAAACTCCCAATTCTCTTTCTGAATTCTAAATCATCTTTTATGTTGCATTTTGGGTGAAAAATTGAGGATTTAGAAACAAGAAACACTTGGCCTTCATGCAAGAGGAGTAAAAAGGCTTCAGAAAAGAAGGCTTTTATATATATACATGAATTTCATTTTGCAACCTGACACCTACCTAATATTCCTAGTTTTTGGAAACTTTTGAATGCCCAATTTCCTCCACTTATAAAAATAAAGCACATGAGAAATGTAACCATAATATGGTGAACTTTGTCAGTGGATCTGTTGTTAGTGTGTTTCACATGATGACTTGTATCAGTGTTGAGATGCACTGGCATCTATGGCCCCTATGACGACACTTCATAGATATACTTAAATTGCCATATGTGGGGCAGTATAGGCCTTGTCATATTGTTCAGATTTTTTCCCTTCGGCAGGTGTAATACTAGAAAAGGAAAATGGGAAAGAGAAAGGCAGCAGGAAAGAAGGAGAAGGCTGTTGGTGAGATTCCCTCCATTCTCTTGATTGATTAACCCTTTTAACATGCATTGAATTTGGCTACTATAACCAATGTCATAGAAGCTGTAATCGACAAACAATAGTGGCTAAATGACTCAAATATTTCAGGCTGTGATTGACTCATAAGGAGTTCTACTGCCAATGATGAAGTTGCTTACATTTTAGGGTCATTATTTATCACCCAGCCATCCTTTAGTGAAGGGCCTCAAGTCTGTTATATCTGCCCAGCCTTGTTAAGAGGGTTAAAGATAATAGATGAAGACTGATACAATGTGTGAGATTCATCCCCAAATTTCCCATGCATCACTATACATTAACTGGTTAATTTTTATTTCCTACTTGCATTCATTCAACTTTTGGAATTAGCAGGAATTTCATAAGAATGTCATTTATTCAAAGGCAGTCTGAAGGGGAATCAGCTTCAAGCACTGTCTGCTACATGCAGTGATTTTGAAATGTCTTTTTCCTATGGAAAGAAGGTGTGCTCTAAGCATCCTCAGGAATGAACACATTTTCCCTTTAGTGAGAGAGGTGTACTATAAATATCCCTTATATCTGCAGAACCTGAAGCAGAAGTTGAGAAGGAGATTGAAGAGGAAGAACCTGTAGAAGACGAGGATGACCAGTTTAGGTAGGCCTACTGTTCCTCCCATTGTTTCTTAGGTAGGATCTGCTGTGAAGTCAAGGGAAAATTTTTTTTCCCAATGTGGATCAGCTCTGGGTCAGATGAGCCCAAGCCAAAGGTCATTGCCAAGACCAAGGGCAATGCCAAAGCCAAGACCAATGCCAAGGCCAATGCTGCTGGAGAGGAAGCTGAGGAGAAGAAGGGAAAGGCCAAGCAAGCCAGGGGAGGTGGAAAACGTCGTAAGGAGGAAGCAGAACCAGGGCAAAAGAATAAGAGCAAGAAACGTGCTCAGGAGAGTGAGGATGAGGAGGACAGTGTAGAAGAGGATGAAGAAGAAGAGGTCACCTTTGCAAATTGTGTGAAGGGGGGTAATGACAGCCAGTCCAACTTCTCTTACAAATGCTTTCTTTTCTTGCAGGAGGAGATAAAGGAGACAAATGTAAAAAGCAGGGGGGGTGGACGGCGAGGAAAGATACGTATTGAGCACTGGTGAGAAGATGACTCCAATGTGTCGGTCCCATGTTCTCATCGGAGGTAACATGACTGTCATTTTATCTGTAATTTGCTTCCAGCAAATCCTGACAAGCGTATAAGAAGAGAGCTGTGGCTGTGGCAGATGCTATTCGAGAATTACATCCAGCTCTCCAGATTGAGCTCAACTCCATTCCTCCTCGGAAGAATTCCTTTGAAATTGTTTATATTGATGAGAACAACCAAGGTGGGCAAAAGGGGAGAGATGTTGAGAATGAGGTCAGTTGGTCTACCTGCTGGGCTTGTGGGATTATTCATTTGGGGTTGTTTTGCAGAGAGGTTGTTGTGGAGTGGGATCAAGAAGGGGCCCCCGAGGAAGCTCAAGTTTCCCGAGCAGGATGTCATTCTCAAAGCTCTGAACGAAGCCGAAGTATAGGAAGGGAATTGTCGAGTGTGTCCATTTTCTTCTTTTCTCATGACAGCCTTGTTTCTGTGTTCTTTTTGTTTGTAGGAGGGGAGGGAATGCATGATGGATCTGTTGAAATCTAGGTTCTTCCCTAGGATGCAGATTCTGAAGATTTCGCTTCTTTCTCTTCCTCTTCCAAGACCACATTGTACCAAAAGGATTTGGGAATTTGTCTTTGTAAATTTTTCTAGGTCATCGGAGGAAGGATAAGAGCCTTTCCCCTCTCTCACTTAGGTACTACTTAGACAAACTTGGATCTGAGAAGATGACCCTTCGTCTAAAACTTCTAAAGTCCAGAGAGAGAAGGACTGAACAAGAAAATTGATTAGAATCCTTATTGTATAAATCTGAATTTCATATCATAGGGAACTGTTGATTTTTAACCCTTCAGGCATTCCCTTTTCCATGATCCACTTGATATAGACAAGGTTTTTGTTCCGTGCCCCATCTTATGCTGCAATCAGGATGTGGGACTTAGTTTTTGTTTCTTTTTCTAGAATCATTCTCTCTCTGAATAACAGTAGATGTAAGATTTCACTCTGATGTGTCACTGTCTCACTTAGGCATTCTATCTTTCTCTATTTTTTTTTACTCATGACATGGAGGAGAGATGGTTTCTGGAAGAAATGAGTATTCCATCTTGTGGTGGGTAGCCTTGTTTTTTATTATCACTTGACTACCCACACATAGACCTGACATTAAAAATCCAAATGGCCATGAAATTCTGCTTGATTGATGTTTGATGGACCATGAGATTAATCTCATTGAACAGTATTTAATTTATTAATTGAGGAGTTTTCTACCTGTAGGTTTCACTCTAATGGGGAGTTTTCTCCAACGATTCAGGTAATTCTGCTTGATTGATGTTTGATGGACCATGAGATTAATCTCATTGAACAGTATTTAATTTATTAATTGAGGAGTTTTCTACCTGTAGGTTTCACTCTAATGGGGAGTTTTCTCCAACGATTCAGGCTGAATTTGTGTTTTGAACAATTTTTACTATTGAGAGATTTTTGATTGAGCTCACTCATCATACCTATACCTGGAAAAGTATTCACAGCAGATAAATCTGTCATTATAGAGGCAGTATGTAATGCATGGTTGTGGATGACCATTTCTGAGATTGCTTTCTAGGTGCAGGATGAAAAGAAGTGGGATGCGCTGTTAAGGTTGAGAGAAATGGACATGGGAAAGCCTTAACCTCTTATTTGGGGGGGGGGGGATTAGAGAGGTGCTTTGAATTAATACCATGGTGATGTTCCTTATCATTTAAAGTATCTTTTAAAAAATTTTGAAATCAGGATCAACCCATGAGTGCAATTGCTTTGCTTGTTTACAACCCCCATAGAACCCCATTATGAGTATATTTTTGCCATCAGCTAATCCAGAGGGTATATGAATTTGTTTCAAGTTATCAAAGTAAATTTTAGACTCCTGGAGCTGTTTCATCGAAGCATATTTTTGGTCTTAAGAGTTCATGCATAAAATATTTGCACTTGCATTGCAGTAATTCTTGGATTCGCCCCCCCCCCCTGTGAACCTTGGCCTAAATAGAAAATTATGAAATGCTCAGAGCAGCTTAAAGAAAAGTCAGTGCTGACATCGCACGCATGGCTGCCCTGCTTAAGCCTGTTGCTTAATGTTTGCTTCTGCAAAAGTGGCAATATTTTATCCTTTGTAAAGCACTTGTGAAATGCGAACATTTTGGTTACACGACGCTAGCACAGGAGGCATCCAGGGCCTGATCGTGGCCTAAGACCTATCAAAAAAACTTAGAAATAAAACTTTTTACATTTAAAATAAGGAAACACGTCTCTCATACCATGGCATAAAAGTTACTCTTTGTCGAGAAAGCGACAAAAAAACGAGGAACCAAGCGATTTGAATCTGGACGCCACACCACGAACACATACATTTTTATTTAATAGAAACTGTTACCATCAGCGTTAAAGTAATTCCTTATGTGAAGCAGTAGCTTCGTTTCGACCTGGAGAACCATCTGGGAATTTGGACATCGATCCCAGATTTCGCAATTGTATTTCGATAGTCTTAACGCAACTTCTTTTCCCGCGTCTCGCCGCCATCGGAAGTAAAAAAAAATCCCTAGAACACAAAAAGCCCCTGGTCGAAACAAAGGTGGTTTAGAAACAGTAATTTTTTTTTAAGCCAAGAAAGCTTACTAGCTTTTTAGCTTACTAACCGCACTTTTTCATTTGCTATGAAGTTTGTCTCATTGAACATTGAATGAATTTTAGTCTGGAAACTTCGTATTAAAAATCCACCTTAAGTCTGAGATTTTACGGAAGGAAATCGGTCGTGCCTCGCCCTCTCATCGCCAATCACTCCAGCGAATTTTATTTTTCTATCTCGCACAAAGAAAATACTTCACAAGCCAGCGCCTCCTTCCCAGGACAAATTCCGATCAATTCGAAGAAAACCCCCGAAGCGATGCAAGGCGTCGAGCGATTCCATCGACATCTGGAGGCAGTCCCTAAGCGCTCTTTTCGTAGCGGGCAATGCTTATAGAGTCTCGACAGCCGAGTGCGTAGTGCCCGCTAGCAGACTTGCCGTCCGCCCGTTGTTGTTTCAGTCTGAGTCTGCCCCTGTTGAGGAACGGTTGGTTTCGTGCTTTTCGTAGCGGGCAATGCTTATAGAGTCTCGACAGCCGAGTGCGTAGTGCCCGCTAGCAGACTTGCCGTCCGCCCGTTGTTGTTTCAGTCTGAGTCTGCCCCTGTTGAGGAACGGTTGGTTTCGTGCGATGAAGCATTCGCTTGGGCAGAGAGTTTTCCTGTGCGATACGTACGCGTCGTGAAGAAAGCGTAAAGTTCCGCCAAAAAATGTCCTCGCGTTCCAGTTTCGAGCAAATCGACAATCCAGAGACTGATTGCGAAACTACGCACAACAGGATGATTGCTGGACCAGAAGAGAGTTCGTACGAGGCACCTTTTGACTGAAGAAAAGCCGGACGAAATCGGCCCTCGTCCGTTTGTGAGTACGTCATAGCTGGGCCCGCGATAAAGCGAACACCCTGTACTTCCTATTTGGTTCGAGAGACGAAGAATTGACCAATCACAGGAATCAAATGGTTTATATTTCGGGGATTGAGACCACAGAAATATCAATATTTCTTGATTGTGTCTAAGGCTCTCTTGCTCGGAAAACTAATGGCTTCGTAGGAAAAAAATTCGCTTCATTGTTGCTCTTGTTATTTTGGGTCAGTCATTGGGAATGTCGAGGCCTCTCATGACAGCGCCCGAATAGAAGTGAGGATGAAAAAGAGAAAAAGCTTTTCAAAAAAGTTTTTTTTTTTCCATTTCTCTTTAAAATAACGAAGAGAGCTTTGGCGTCCATGAGGTGTGGATTGTACGCTGTTCGAAATGTTTCGTCATACTTTGGAACTTTTGTCATACCATCCCAAGTAAGGACAGTTAATTTCTTTGAATAAACAGGACACTAACATAAAAAGAAGGAGTTTTGTTAAGAAGTCCGAGATTGAAGCAGCCTCATTTTGGAATGATTTTGATCCGGCAACTTTTCAAATGGTTTTTGATCCGGCAACCCTGATGGCATGATGGCGCCCCGCAGTCCTGCTGGAGGCGCGTAGTCGAGATCGTTTCGAGCTCGTTTTTGTCGCTGCTCTGCAACCACTGAATTAGCGAGGTTAAAGCTGGAATGTCCAAGTTGCATGCTCACTTAGAGCTTGGAACCGGATTCTTATGCTGACTTTTGCCGGTCTCCAAGGGATCCAGATATGGTGAAGCCGACTGTTAAGGCGAAACGAAGTGTAAGTGTTTGGACTAGGCCTAGGTTTAGTTCTACATTATGCCTACATATACAAATAGGTAGACGGCATGGTCTGATGGAAATCTATAGTGCCACTCTCCTATTTACCGCCAGGCGTGTGCTGCTGGAAGTTTTGAGGTCGATTCAATCGCAGACAGTTGTCTTGGCTTCTGGAAGTTATGGACCTTTTATCGATAATTTCTTCTTCCTCCCGTCTTTCAGCTGCAGATATTTCACTAGAGTGGAATTCATTTCACGTATTCTCCCCTCACTTTGCTATTAGAAAATGTGAGGTTAAAGTTGATAAGTTTGTGTTTGCTTGCATGGAGTTTCCCAGGCTTTTGATATAGTATAGCCTCAGTCTCCTGTCTTGCTAGCCGATATCTATTTTATCTGGGAACTGCTCTCTCTGATTGTGTTGCCATGAGAACTCAAAGAAATGGCTTAACTTTAGAATATGTTCCCACAGAGGGAATACTTATTTGGGAGCAAATAAGTATTACTTATATCTATATGGATATATTGGGAATATATTTCTCTTGACGGTGCATGGACGGTGGTTCGCCCAGAAAACGCTAGAAACTCCTCACATATCTTGGGCCTTGGCAACCCTGAGCGGCCATGTTACACGCTCTGCCCATGCCCCTGCGTCTGCTAGCACATTTCATGGCCTTCCTGGGCATGCACGCTGTACTCAGGTCGAGGTCGGTCCTCCCGTTGACTGACCCGACTCTCATGGCACGTTTTACTACGCCCTTCCGGTCTAGTCTTCATTCAAGTGAGACCCGTCATTGCACTAGCATAGTAGGTGGACCTCCATTATTTTCTCCCAGGTTTGGTGTCAAAGGCCAAAGAGTGGGAATCTATCAAAAAAACTTAGAAATAAAACTTTTTACATTTAAAATAAGGAAACACGTCTCTCATACCATGGCATAAAAGTTACTCTTTGTCGAGAAAGCGACAAAAAAACGAGGAACCAAGCGATTTGAAACTGGACGCCACACCACGAACACATACATTTTTATTTAATAGAAACTGTTACCATCAGCGTTAAAGTAATTCCTTATGTGAAGCAGTAGATTCGTTTCGACCTGGAGAACCATCTGGGAATTTGGACATCGATCCCAGATTTCGCAATTGTATTTCGATAGTCTTAACGCAACTTCTTTTCCCGCGTCTCGCCGCCATCGGAAGTAAAAAAAATCCCTAGAACACAAAAAGACCCTGGTCGAAACAAAGGTGGTTTAGAAACAGTAAATTTTTTTTAAGCCAAGAAAGCTTACTAGCTTTTTAGCTTACTAACCGCACTTTTTCATTTGCTTTGAAGTTTGTCTCATTGAACATTGAATGAATTTTAGTCTGGAAACTTCGTGTTAAAAATCCACCTTAAGTCTGAGATTTTACGGAAGGAAATCGGTCGTGCCTCACCCTCTCATCGCCAATCACTCCAGCGAATTTTATTTTTCTATCTCGCACAAAGAAAATACTTCACAAGCCAGCGCCTCCTTCCCAGGACAAATTCCGATCAATTCGAAGAAACCCCCCGAAGCGATGCAAGGCGTCGAGCGATTCCATCGACATCTGGAGGCAGTCCCAAAGCGCTCCTTTCGTAGCGGGCAATGCTTATAGAGTCTCGACAGCCGAGTGCGTAGTGCCCGCTAGCAGACTTGCCGTCCGCCCGTTGTTGTTTCAGTCTGAGTCTGCCCCTGTTGAGGAACGGTTGGTTTCGTGCGATGAAGCATTCGCTTGGGCAGAGAGTTTTCCTGTGCGATACGTACGCGTCGTGAAGAAAGCGTAAAGTTCCGCCAAAAAATGTCCTTGCGTTCCAGTTTCGAGCAAATCGACAATCCAGAGACTGATTGCGAAACTACACACAACAGGATGATTGCTGGACCAGAAGAGAGTTCTTACGAGACACCTTTTGACTGTAGAAAAGCCGGACGAAATCGGCCCTCGTCCATTTGTGAGTACGTCATAGCTGGGCCCGCGATAAAGCGAACACCCTGTACTTCCTATTTGGTTCGAGAGACGAAGAATTGACCAATCGCAGGAATCAAATAGTTTATATTTCGAGGATTGAGACCACAGAAATATCAATATATCTTGATTGTGTCTAAGGCTCTCTTGCTCGGAAAACTAATGGCTTCGTAGGAAAAAAATTCGTTTCATTGTTGCTCTTGTTATTTTGGGTCAGTCATTGGGAATGTCGAGGCTTCTCATGACAGCGCCCGAATAGAAGTGAGGATGAAAAAGAGGAAAAGCTTTTCAAAAATTTTTTTTTTTTTTTCCATTTCTCTTTAAAATAACGAAGAGAGCTTTGGCGTCCATGAGGTGTGGATTGTACGCTGTTCGAAATGTTTCGTCATACTTTGGAACTTTTATCATACCATCCCAAGTAAGGACAGTTAATTTCTTTGAATAAACAGGACACTAACATAAAAAGAAGGAGTTTTGTTAAGAAGTCCGAGATTGAAGCAGCCTCATTTTGGAATGATTTTGATCCGGCAACCCTGATGGCATGATGGCGCCCCGCAGTCCTGCTGGAGGCGCGTAGTCGAGATCGTTTCGACCTGGTTTTTGTCGCTGCTCTGTAACCACTGAATCAGCGAGGTTAAAGCTGGAATGTCCAAGTTGCATGCTCACTTAGAGCTTGGAACCGGATTCTTACGCTGACTTTTGCCGGTCTCCAAGGGATCGAGATATGGTGAAGCCGACTGTAAAGGCGAAACGAAGTGTAAGTGTTTGGACTAGGCCTAGGTTTAGTTCTAGATTATGCCTACATATACAAATAGGTAGACGGCATGGTCTGATGGAAATCTATGGTGCCACTCTCCTATTTACCGCCAGGCGTGTGCTGCTGGAAGTTTTGAGGTCGATTCAATCGCAGACAGTTGTCCTGGCTTCTGGAAGTATGGACCTTTTATCGATAATTTCTTCTACCTCCCGTCTTTCAGCTGCAGATGTTTCACTAGAGTGGAATTCGTCTCACGTATTCTCCCCTCACTTTGCTATTAGAAAATGTGAGGTTAAAGTTGATAAGTTTGTGTTTGCTTGCGTGGAGTTTCCCAGGCTTTTGATATAGTATCGCCTCCGTCTCCTGTCTTGCTAGCCGATATCTATTTTATCTGGGAACTGCTCTCTCTGATTGTGTTGCCATGAGAACTCAAAGAAATAACTGTATTTTAATATTTTAAAAATTTCCAGGACAAACAGAAGTCGGAGCCGTCAAAGGGACAGACCCGCATTTCTAGCTTCTTTGGCCGAAATGCCCAGAATGAGGAGAATCGCTGTCTCCCTGAGACACCTCCCAAGCCAATCACGTTTGAGAAGCCTCAAGAAATGAGCCCTGATCTGTTTGCTTCAGTCTCAAATACACCCCAAGAACCTTTGCAATGGTCTCCTGATTTTGCTGCTGAAACCCCCACGAGAGCCAATACCAAGAATGATTGTGATCCTGAGCTAGTCTCAATCAAACCTCAACCGATGAGACTAATGAAAAGGCCTGCAACAAAGGGCACTGGCATTTCCCCAAATCCTAAGAAGGAGGTCAGCAACTCCAAGTTCACCATGAGGAATGTGGAAGTGAGCCATGTGCGGCGGTGCCTGACCCCCAAAAAGGAAGACAGAAAGATGCTTCTGAAGGAGCTAGAGGCACAGTTTATTCCAGAGACAACAGGAAAATCCTTAGGAGACTGGTTTCCGAAGGAGGAGGAAACTGACAATGACCTACTTGAAGAGTTTCTTAACATGTCCCCTTTCAAGGATGTCACGTAAGTAAAGCTACCTGAGCCAGGATTGGAACAAGAACTCCTACTTTGGATGAAACGTTATTCATATTTTGTTAATTTTCATCATTTTGTTCATCAGTTCGAAGGTAATGATCGTGGTATCCCAAAGATTTGCTAAGAGAATCTGATTGAATTTGCAACACTGAACTTGTTTTACCCCAGGTCAATCCAACCAAACCCATAATTTCTCAAAAAATAGCTTCAGAATTCAAGAATTGTAAGAATTGTTAGGATCATTGAAAACCTAGTCAAGGGATGACTCAATTGTCTTCCCTTTTTGTGGAGAAGAAAATGCCACTCTGCATATGGCTGTAAGCCTTATCATTCTGTTTTATTTTTATTGCACATAAAAGAATGTTTTTTTTTTAAAGCTTTTTGTCAGTAAATAAATCTGGAATGCTTTTTTCCTAGTGCAAAAAAGGAATTTCTGAAATGCATTATTTTGTGATAACAGAGAGCTGTTTTTGTCCTTGGCACCCCATACACTGAATCTCTCTGTTTTTGGGTATCAGTCAGATATGATTTCCAGTTGGCTTGCTTATTGGAACACAAGTGAGAAAGACTTTTAAAGGTAATATGTGCTGCAGTTAATGCAATCAAGCAGGTAATATGGGGTGTCTGCAAGTTAAAGAAAGTTGTCATCAGTAAAATGATCATAGGCATTATGCCAGCTTGTGGTGTACTTTTTTTTCCTCTCCTGAAGGGAGAATTTTCCATTTTCTCCATGGCTTTTTTTTTCTCTATCTGCAAGCCTTAGAAGTCTGCAACTGGGTGAGCATAGCCCTGAGGACTGGAGTATTTTCTGTATTAACAGGAGCTACAGATTAAATAGAGAAACGTGATCACCTTGCAGTTATTGCCAGGATTGTTTTTTGTCCTCATTAGACAAGGTGCCAGATTAAAAATATGGGCGTTTTTTCATTTCTCACAGGAATAACAGGCGAGATCTCAGCAGCAAGAAAGCATCAGAAATAGAGAAACGTTTGCCACAGAAGTATCACAGATGTACCGTGGTTGAAGTGGATCGATCTGAGTACCCAAAGTCTGTTCGTCTGCTTCTGAGACCAGAAAATGAGACACAGCTCCAGGTCTGCATCTTGAGGAGCTTCTGGTAAGGTTGCCTTCCCTCATCAATAATGTCTTACTTCATTTTAAAAAGTCCATCCAGTTCTATAGGTTGTCAGTCTATATGTCAGCTACCACATTTTAGTTTTGTGACATAAACGAAGAAAAAATAAAGGGCTTAAGAGTCTGATGTTTTAATTATTGTTAGTGGGTGTTTCTTATCGAAAATGAAGATGACTGAGAACTCCATGAAATAAGAGCCATAATTCTAATATGGTTTGATTTGTCATTGGTCACTTTTCATTACTGATAGTATATTGATTAAAAGAAAGTAAGAAATGTATGACATTGATAGCTGTCAAGGCTATCGGTATATGTATATGTTGTGTTAAATATTTTTTTGTTTTCTTAAGTTAGCACATATTCATTGGGTGAATCATACAGGCAATGTCTGACCTTATATGCTTGGAGTCTTTCTATTGACGTGGACCTGGAGCTTTAAAGCCAACAGATAACTGCAGATTTTGCTTTTTTAATCATTTTAGTGTGGAAAGCAAAGAAGCCTGCAATCTCATTTAAACTAGGAAGTTCGATGTAGACCTGAATAGCAATGCTTTTTCTATAAGTCCTGCTTTTTGCTGAATATGATTGCCATTATAATTTTGTAATGAGCAAATATACTACATATAGGCCTAGATTATTTCTGGTTGAATTTAGAGTAAAATGATTTTGCTTATTGATTTATTTTGTTTTTTTAAATTGAAAAAAGTCCAACTATGACCTCATGTTTTTAAGGTTATGCTGAACAGGTAGTTCATTCAAGCCTGTCACTGACAGAAAGCCATCTGCTTGGTCAAGCTCCTCCAGTGGTGTTCTATCAGATCTTCCTGCCTATTTCAGGATGGAAACTCCCCTAAAGGAAGGGGACACAGTGAACGTGGAATGCCAAGATACAGAGGAGTGGGTCATTGATGGGACTCAGGGCCTCTTGGTCCTCCATCCAGACTGTCTGATGTCCGGCACATCGGTCGTTGCAGGCGTCTTCTGTCGGCGGAAAGCCGTCTTGAATGAGCTCTTCAAGGGATATGACCCTCCTAACAAGCATATGGTCATTGGCTCTCTTCTTCACCAAGTCTTTCAGAAGGTATATTATGAAATCTCCATTATCTATGTTCATAAGAAACTGGTGCCACTGCCCATGACAGATTTTCACCTGATTGTTAGTCTCCATTCTTAGAAAGAAAAAGGGTAATGACTTTTCTTTCAAGCTTTCATATGTGTTGCAGTGGTATTTACTGGGCATCAGCCATTAGGTTCCAAAGAACTTCCAGAAGTAGTTCACAATTTATTGGTTTTGTACAGCTGAGAGTTAGTATTCAGTTAACATAGCAATGCATAGGTATATACTATGGTTCTCCAACAGAATTAAGTCAGAAATGGTAGTTGCTGGTCTACATGCCACAGAATTGTGTTTTAGGCCATGAAGGAGAGAGTGAGTGATGAGAACATGCTGAGGAGAAGCATCGAAGAGGCAGTGAAGGAACCCGACATCCTATCTCAACTGTATGCCATCTCCTACTCTGTGAGCACATTGATGGAGGAAGCTGAGGCTTACATCCAACCCATGTCCAAGTGGATCCAGAAGCATTGCCGTCCAAATGACACACTACAGGTGCTGGAGGTGCAGGACATTGAGGAAAACATCTGGAGTCCCCGCTTTGGGGTGAAGGGGAAGGTTGATCTTACGGTTGAAGTTAAAATCCATGGCAAGAAGAAGGTTAGTACCAGGGAGGATCAAAGCCCTGTCTGTTCCACCGAGTTTTCTAATTTTCTCTTAATAATTTTTATGAATATGAACTAGAGCATTATGATCCCCCAAGAGAGGTAATTTTTTCCCATTATCTTCAGGAAGAGACTTGAAACATGTTCTTTAATATGGGGATTGTTATGGAAAATATGCCTTCATAAGTATTCTTTTGGGCTTAAATTGTAGATAGTCTTCATGGGTATAGGCCAATAAAGACCATTGGGGCTTCAAATTTGAAGATCCTATTTCCTCTTTTTAAATAAGTAAGCCAATATCATAGAACTGTGTGATATAGGTGTTGCCATTGGAGCTGAAGACAGGGAAGGCATCATTCTCAGCAGAACACAAAGGTCAGGTGACGCTGTATTCCATGATGATGGCTGAACGACGCAATGATCCTGAAGGAGGAATTCTCCTCTATCTGAAGTGAGTGGCTTAATCTGCTACAAAATGATAAATGTTGTCAGTGCCAGGTTTGACTGCCTGCAGATGATTGTTGATGGTTTATTGAGACTTGATGACATAGGACATGAAAGTCATATAATGAACCTTATACTTGTACTGGAACTGTCTGATTAATTGATATTCTGAGTGTTTGAGATCTTTATTCATCAGGTGGATTTTCAGACTTACTCATAAAAGTTTTGGCTTTGACCTTGCTGGATCTATGGGTGCCCTGAAATTTTGCCCTGCCCTTTTCTTAGTGCTAAATTTACATTTCTGGTACTGGAATAAAATAAATTTGAAGTTCTAAAATGAGCTTGATTCTTCATCTTTGGCTATATGTTGGAGAATTTAAGAAATTGCTTAATGCTCTGTTAGTTAAAATGGTACCTGTTTGAACACTGTCCCTGAGCACCTATGAGTGAAAAAGAAGAATCAAGATCAGTGGGCCCCTACAGAAGGTGATTGTGTTTTATGCGATTGTACATTCTACTGTATATTTCACTTGAATGAGATGAAAATACTTTGTACCAAGCCTGGATACCCATTTAGAGGGCATAGGGATATTCAATGTAAATTTCTGATTTAACTCTGACAAGGGATGGGTCAATGGAGATGGTGAGTGGTGGGGAAAAGGAGAAGCAAGGCCTAATGCAGCTGCGGAATGACCTTGCATCCCATCTGAACCAGAAGCCCATAGTTGATGGGGAGGGATCCCATCACACACTGCCGACTCTGCCTCCAGTCATCAGCCACCCACGGGCATGCCCGTCTTGCCCCCAGCTTCTCCCCTGTTCCATCTATCAGCAGTAAGGGCTTTTTTTGCTTATTGGGATAATGACCTAGGGTATCTGTGGTCTTTTCCAAGGCATCCTTGTGAATAGAGGATATCTGGCTGAAGTTAGGAGTGATTTGTATATAAGGGAGCAGTGATTAAAATATCTAATATTATTGAAAGACAGATATTTTGTGTTGTTCTCATTGCTATGCTTGTTCATATCTCATTATTTTTTCAATATAAAATACCTGAAAGACAATATCGTCAGTGAAAGTATTCAAGTTGACTTAAGCCAGCTTTTTTTAATTTCAAATTCTATAGACTGTGTACAAGGAAAATAATAGCTTTGAGTATTTGCATAGTTATTTTATTAATTTTTGGCTTTTGATGTAAGGCCTTCTGCAAGTATGCAAATTTATCAAAAATAATTAAGTTTCATGATTGAGACTTTCTTATGTGCCTATTATTGCTTTTGAGGTAAGTTTTGACCAATTTGAATTAATTCGTTATTTTCCACATTTTCAAGAAAGGATGTGTGCAGCAAGGCTTTTTTTTTCTTCAATTTTTTGGAAAGGCAATGGTGTAGTGTGAGGATTAAACATATCCCTCTTATTTTTGAGGGGAAAAATCGTCCAAAGTAGTTAGTGGTGACGCTTTGTAAGATTATAATTTTTTTACATGGTATGTAAAAACTCAACAGGAAATGGAAGTAAAAGTGTTAGAAAGGGGGGAATGGTGAAAGAGGAGGCAGTGATCTTCTACCCCTCTCTTTCATCCTTTTAGATCTGTGGAGAAATTCATTCCAGCACCCCCTCATCCTATGTCTGACCTGGTGCCCCAAGCCATAGGTCACTTGAAACCAGAAGACTTTGCTTTTGCCACAAGGTGGTTCCTCCTGTGTGCTCTCGAGGATCAGGCCGAACGGGATTCCTCCCAGATGCACTCCTTGTGGATGCCTCATTGCTCCAAGTAAGTTTCTAGATTGGGTCTGGGTCTTTGTACAACTGACCGAGATGAGACCTGACAGCTGTTCATTGTTGACTGACTATGATCACTTGATTGTTCATGTTAGGCTTCATCTTTCCAGAGAAACAAATAGCTGAATTTCATATTAATCAATTCATGGCTATCTTGTTATGAAACTTTGTGATTTCCTGGAGAGAAAATATCGGCTGGTTTATTCCAGGGAGAAGGAGGGACCAGGCCTCCAGAATCTGAGTCTCAAGTCTTCAAAGCCAAGTTCCTTGCTCAGCCACATTCACGTGTTTGAGTCGCAAATGTCTCTTGAGACCGTGGATCAGGTTTCTGTTGGAGATGGTGTCATTGTCAGCACTCAGGATGGCATGTTTCTGGCCGTCTCCATGGGGACAATCACGGATCTCTTGCCGCACTCCATCGTCATCAATCTCGACAAGTATTGAAACTTTTTCTTGTGCATATACTTGCATAAAATATTGCAAATCCCCAGATCTTAATGATACGGGGTCTTCATTGCTACTGGTAGGGGGGTCTGAGGCTATTGGTATGCTAAACTAGTACTGCACCCTAACAACTTCTTAATTTCGAATCACAGAGACCTATTAGCTCTGAAGGAGCTGAACGGAAAGCAATTTCGAGCAGATAAGCAGGAGTTCCTGGGCTCCACAAGGGGGATCTGTCTGTCAAATCTTATGCGCCTCATGGAGAATGACCCAGTTTCCACCAATCTCAGACAATTCATCATCCACAAGTATGCATTATTCTGTTTCATCTTGATGGGAAATTCTATGGTTAGAATAAATTTGTTTTTAAGGCAGAGGTCGAGGAAAGGGAAGGGGTTGAAGAAGGAAATCGCCACAAAGTGTCGGGACCTGCTCCGGGGCCTGAACGAGCCGCAGCAGAGGGCTGTCCTCCATTCCCTCCTGGTGGAGGACTTTCTGCTCATTAAGGGAATGCCTGGCACAGGTTCGTTTCTCTCATCGTGTCCCACCTTGGTCGGCGACTCCGAGCCCTTTTCCGCATTTTCCCAGAGGCCTGCATGAGATCTCAAGATTAATTGTGACTCATCAGGATGGGTTTAATTTGATAGTGGTGTTTTCATCTACTACCTTTCCAAGTTGCATAAGATGAGGAGAACCAAGTCTTGTATTAAAGAATGTAGTAGGTACAATGGTAATTGTGTTTGTTGATCTCTTGCTTTGGCATCAGTGATATGAAACTGTCATAAATGGTTCATAGGCTCATGTTAACCAAGCCTTATTCAAATAGTGAATGGGTCTGAAAATGTATGAATCTATGATTTTATGAATTAACTTGTATTCATTCTTCTATTAGATGGTATGATTTTCCAGATTATTGTATAATCTGGAAAATGTAAACATAATTGATAATAAGTAAGTCTCTAGACTTGACAGTTGTCCTTTTGCAAGTGGTGACTGCTAGAATGCAACTTTTGAATTGGACTCAATGACTGTGAGAGTGGGAAACATGAAAGCTCACGATGCCATTGCCAGGGAAGACGTGGACGATCGTGACGCTGGTGAACGTGTGCGTGCGCCTGGGCCAGACCGTCCTCTTGACGAGCTACACGCACTCGGCGGTGGACAACATCCTCCTGAAGCTCCTCGGCTCGGTGGAGTTCCTGCGGCTGGGGCGGGCGTCCCGCGTGCACCCCCAGGTCCTCCCGCACTCCGAGGCCGTTCTCGCGTCCTCGTTGTCCACGCTCGAGGAACTCGAGCGCCTCTACATGTCCAAGGTCAGATGTCTCGTTGCATTTCTAAGAGCATTTTTATTCGTGGTGGAAGACTCAAGACATCAGTGTTCCTTATTGGAATTTTGAGACAAAGAGGTGTCTTGCCCTTTGGCAGGCCAAGGAGCTAAGCTGTTTTTGTGATGTTTTAAATCAATATAATTCTTATGGAGATTGTAGTTTGCTAGGGTAGCCTTGCTGTTTCTTCTCTTTTCTTCCTGTGTTACAGCTGTATCGTGCATGTCTTATGTTTATTATTGTGAGCAATAGAATTTAGGGAAGCTGTTGCAGTCTCTAAATTCTAAATTATAGTTCTAAGTATTCTTGGAAACATATAGGCTCGTACACGTACATCATTTGCATTACACTGCTGGAGTATACCGAATGAAAAATTGGAAATTTACCAGATCAAGTTCACTTTGGAACGGTACTTTTCCCACCTAGTACTAAAGCTGACGATATATAAGTCCAAAAACATGTTAATTTCATGCATAGGATCTGATATTTGCCTCCTTTCTAAATATTCTCGTTGGCTCTGCAGCCCGTGGTGGCGACGACCTGCCTGGGCGTCCGGCACCCGCTGCTCACGCGCCGCACCTTCGACGTGTGCATCGTGGACGAGGCGGCGCAGACACTGGAGCTGGCGGCGCTGGGCCCGCTCTTCAGTGCCCGGAAGTTCGTTCTCGTGGGGGACTCGGACCAGCTGCCGCCGGTGGTCAAGTCCCACCAGGCGCGGTGAGTCTGCATGCATCTCTCTCGATGCTCCCGGGGGGGGGATCTTTTAGTTTCGAGATAATATTACCGAGAACTGTTAATAAGTAGAGGACAAGAATTCGCAGGAGACGAATATTCTGGCTTGACCAACTTGCGTTTATTGTGCGAAAATGTAGTTCAGGACATGTGACGATGTCTGTTGGTGCTTCATCTTTAGGGTGAAGTCAACTCTTGTGGCTGAAAATAAGTTCTCTTACGCGGTGGTTTGTTGGTGGCATTCCATGGTCATCTGTGAAATTCCGTTCGTTGGAATAGCTCATATCCATGTTAAGGACACGGTAGAGGAATTATGATACTCTCCTTTTTTTCCCACAAAGATGTTGCGAAGAGGTCGCGATCTATTGTACGAAAGTACTTTTGAAGATGACGGTTATTATAATAAATAAAAAAAATAGGATGGAATATTGAAAACTTGCACATGCCTGGAGCCATGACACGACAGCGTGATCGACAGTGTGTATCGACCCTGACGACCTAACGGTTTCCAGTTGTATTTCGTAAATTAGTAACCTGGAATGCGCAATGGGGATTCCATCTTTATTCCTTTTTTGTGGTCATGCATCATTCAGCGAGGTATCGTGTAAGAGATGTATCAGGTATCATATCAGGCAACACGTTAGAGAGGTATCAAGTTGTCTCAGAAGGGGAAGAGCCGGGGTCGGGATGGGCGGGAGGCGCGCCGTCTGACGCTGAGGGGTCTGCCCAGTCTCCCCAGCGGTGGCCGCTCCTTCAACCTGTCGGGGGGAAAGGAATTTCGAGTGCTTATGGGTGGCAGTTGCTGTTTTTTTGCGGAAGCCCTTGGTCCAGATGTCAAGGGGCGAGGATGGGTGGTCGCTGTGGTGGTGTGTGAGGTGGGGGTGCGAAGGGGCAGGTGCAGAAAATGTGAAAATGAGGAGTAATAAACTCGAGGTGAGAAATGATTGTTCATATTGAAATGTTACCTGGCGGGGACAGTGAAATATTTGAGCGGAGAGCCTCGACCGATGGGAACAAGATCATCCTCGATGGGGTTCAAGTCCCGTGCTGCCAGAAAGTAAAATAGAATTAAAAAAATATATATATATATACAGTATATAAATAAAAGTATAATAGGTAAAAAATGAAGTCACGTTCATTGGACTCCTGGTGGAAGAATTCAAAGACGCGACCGATATCGTACGAGCGAGAGACTGACCGTTGTCGAGCCGGAAGCGCCGGAAGTCCGGGTGGGTGGGGAAGACGTGGTCGAAGGTGTCCGACCGGAACAGGGTTTGGGAGGCGGCCAGGGAGAAGAGGAGCGAGAGGAGGAGCCAGGGAAGACGCAGCATCTGTGGGGAAATGACGTTTCCGTTGCGATTGGCAGGGCAGACTCTTCCCGCGCCATTGTATTGTAGCGTTTACTTGATTATTCATTTATTATTCATTTATTCAAAAATACTGAACAAGGGTTTGACGAGGAAATAAGGGGTCTGCGCGAAGCCAGAGTTGAATTGCCAGGCCTGATCTGATCAGCTTAAGGAAGCCATAACCGTCATGAAGCGGAGGTAGGACTCGGAGGTAAATACTTCCATGGCGCTCTGACAGGAAAGGTTAATCGAGAAGGAGCTGAGACCCAATACGAACTGCGGAAGCAGAAGCGTTCGGTAAGCATTTGGAGGTCTCCCTGGTAGGGGAATCGACGTCACGTGATCCGCACCTCAACCAATCGGAGATCTCCTCGCGCACATGGTCTCCTGACGTTCCGCCAATCAGAGACGGCCTCGTTCCCACGACTCTTGCGGGCACCGAGTTCACCCGTCCGCTTTCGTCACTCCTCGAGTTTACGTTGCAGAGAATGTATGCCAGTGCTCCTGTGGCTATCCGCCTCAGTCGCAATGTAACCTATCTTCACCTGAGAAAGCCATGCTCGTGTATGAAGGATCTCTTAGTTCCCGGATGTCATTAACATATGTCTTTTCAAATTAATTTTAGTAAGGTTGGTTAACCGATAGTTAACTTGGACCTACTCCCATAACTATTCCCGGCTTTCATAATCCCACCCTTGCATAAGTTGCCTCGTTATCTGGAGTCTGGTTCCTAGCTTGACTCGACATCAGAAAAAAAGCTGTCCTTGTTTGCGCAACGGAGATACACCGGGAAACTCTTCCTTGGCGAATCTATGGTGACGCTTTTTCCGGGAGTATCAGTATTTACATGAATAAATAACTTGTCGGTAAAGTTTCACGAAGACAGTTCAAACCCGGTATGTTGTTTTGCATGGCGACGCGGTTCGAATTTCTTGTTCTATCATTCGGCCTTTGAGTAAATTTCTAAAATCCATAAGTTATTCTTGACAAAATTTTTATTTTTTTGGTATTTATGAAAAAATGTATTATATTTAAATATAATTATATATATTATGATATATTTTAATGTCGTATACGTTTATGTTTATATTGATTGATTAACTTATTTATTTATTTTTGGTTCTAAATGTTATTTCAAATTCCTCTTGTACAGTACGTCCCGCCAAATACGAAAATGAAGCGCTTCCCTCTGTGCCTTAGGGCGAGATTCACCAGAGGTCAGTCAGCCCTGAACCTCTTATAAATGCATTCCCGACACCTCATTATTATAATTTTTTTCATGTCACTTACCGCGATGCGGATGCAGGCGAATTTCCGAGGCTGAGTCGGCACTATCTCCCAAAGCCCACTGACGAGGCGCGGCGTGAAACGGGTTTCTTTTCTTTCCGTTTCGCCTTGACGGGGTCGCCGGCGGGTCAGGGTCGGGGTCGGGGTAAGTCAAGGTAGTGGGGGTAGTCAAGGTGGTCCGGGTAGTACCGGATCCCCCTCCCGGATTCCCCATCCCCGCCCTTTTTTTCTCGCGAGGCGTTATTAGGGCGCGTTGTGCTTATTCATCGCCGCCCAGGGTCGGGGCCGATTCCGGCTGTAGAGTTTGATGAATGGGTCGTCTGGGGGGAATTAGCAGGAGGGAGGGCTTGTCCCTTCCTTTGCCGACGCCTGGAATTGTAAATGCGAATACGTTTTGCATGCGAGTTTTGATGGGCTGGATGTAATTTTCGTCCAATGTAAATTTTGTTTGAGTTCTGACGCGCTTTGCCCGTCGGATCGCTCATCAGGTCGCTCATCGACTTTTTTTTTCCCTCAGCTGTCGGCGTTTATCATGTGGCTACGGGATCATAATAGATCTTCCCTCCCTTAATGAGTCAAGTAATTGCTCCATCTGGGCGCGGATTCGCACGCAGCCACGCGATCGTCAGTGAGAATGAGTGATTCGCGGGGGGGAGGATGGAGGAGGATGGGATTTGCGCGGCGGTCCTTGTCAAGGACTGCGCTCGTTTCGGGGGGGTGGAGGGGGTGAAGGCGTGGGAGAGTCGCTAATGCGTGAATGGTTCTGAATGCTACGAGGTAATTTTTAATTTTTTTTTTACCTCGTTGGTTGCTGGGTGTCCTCGCGGTCGTGGTTCTGCTTGGCGGGTTTTTTTTCTTGGAACTCGCGGTCAGAATTGAGCTTTTGAACAGAGCGTCTGAAAGCCACCGTTCATTGCGTCATTTGGTTTTTTTTTTTTCCATTTCGGCAGATAATTCGGTCTCTCTTGGCTTTTGTAGACCTTGAGGGGGAAAAGGGAACTTTCTTTTGCTTGCTGAACGACAGTGAAATTTCTCGGGATGGCCCAGAAAGCCATGCAATGGATGAGCTCGGATGAACCAGTAAATCTTCAAAGCCGATAATCTTTTCTTAACCATTTCTTCCCGCGTTCCATTGCCGGCAACCGGCCGCTTCCTGAGGAACTCATCCCTCGAAATGAGTCGCAGGAGAATCTTTTATTTACGGTAGAAATGTTTTCGCCTGGAATTTCACATTCATACTGAAATTCCGGGGTGAAAAAACCCATCTAGGTCTGCATCGGCTAAAGGCTCCAAGATTCAGAAGTTCGTATTCATTTTGTATTTGGTTTATTTTATTATAAGTGTTTATTTTATTTATTATTTTTCATGTTCTACACAGGTTGCGCCGATTCCGCTAATCCGCTGAATCCTTTCATCTGGGGCTCGTCCTGAAAGTAGGTGTGGAAAAAAATAGAAATAATTATGAAAATTAAGTTGTGTAATGTTCCTCGTAAATGGGTGGTTGAGTGTTTCCTTCGGCTGTTGGGCGTGGATGTGCAATGAAAAGCTGCAAGGTTTCGATCCGAAAGTTTTTTTTTCATTCCTGTCATTGCATGAGAGCCTGGAAGCGGAGTATCCACATATTTAAAGATGGATCAGTACCCGTTTTCGATGTAGGTTTTTTTTCTTCTTGCAGTTAGCTTTGGCGCCAGAGAGAACGTACGCGGATGAGACGAAGTCGGTTTTCATAGTTGAGAAGAGATGAATGCGCGAGCACTGTTACGGTCTGGTCGGGTCGGCCGAGAGTACTGATCCATGCCAGGTACGAATAAATAGACGCAAGAGGACAGGGGGTGAAGATAGGGTTGAAAGACGCGGGGTCGAGGCGGGAAGGCGGTTAATGGTGCTTCCCCAGGGTGTAGTGCCTCCGGTGGCTGCGAGGGTGCTTGGCGTAGAAGTAAGGCGTGGAGCTCTGGAAGCGGCGGACGAAGGGGGCCTTGATGAGGACATGTTCCCCTTCGAAGGCTTCCTCCAGGCGCTCGGAGTGGGTCTTGGCGGTGGGGTAGGGGACGTCGGCGTAGGCGGGGCGGCTGTCGATGGATCGACCGTAGACGACGGGGACGGGGTGGCGGTGGACCTTCTCGACCTCGTAGCCGGGTCCGTGGTGGTATTCCTTGCGGACGGCGACGGGGGCGGGGTGGTGGTGGACCTTCTCGACCTTGACGGAGCCGTAGGGGTCGGCGTGGTATTCCTTTCTCACGTTGACGGAGCCGTAGGGGTCGGTGTGGTGGTACTCCTTCTCGACCTTGACTCCGCCGTAAGGGGCGGGGTGGTGGTACTCCTTTTCAACGTGGACGTCGGAGTAGACCGGGCCGTGCTGGTATTCCTTCTCGACGACGACGGCAGGGGCGGGAGCGTGATAGTGGTGCTCCTTCTTGACGACGACTGGGGCAGGGTGGTGGTGGACCTTCTTGACGACGACGGCAGGAGCGGGAGCGTGGAAGTGGTGCTCCTTCTTGACGACAACTGGGGCAGGGTGGTGGTACTCCTTCTTGACGACCACGGGGGCGACGGGGACGGGGTGGTGGAATTCCTTCTTGACGATCACAGGGGGGACAGGAGCGAGGTGTTGGTATTCTTTCTTGACGACCAAGGGTGCGGCTGGGGCGGGGTGGTGGTATTCCTTCTCCACCGCGACGTGACCGTAGGGATCGGCGTGGTATTCCTTCTCCACCTGGACTCCGACGTAGGGATCGGCGCGGTATTCCTTCTTCACCGCGACGTGACCGTAGGGATCGGCATGGTATTCCTTCTCGACCGCGACGTGACTGTAGGGATCGGCGCGGTATTCCTTCTCCACTTGGACTCCGACGTAGGGATCAGCGTGGTATTCCTTCTTCACCGCGACGTGACCGTAGGGATCGGCGTGGTATTCCTTCTCGACCGCGACGTGGCCGTAGGGATCGGCGTGGTATTCCTTCTTGACCGCGGCGTGGCCATAAGAGTGGACCGGCATGGGCTCGTACGCGGCCTGCACGTACGGGGCGTAGACTCCGGTGGAGACGGCAACGGGCGCCCCGTTGGGGTGGGACTCCTCGACGACCGCGGAGAGCCCGGTCTGGTGGGCGATGGAGGCGGCCTTGAACGCCTCGTCGGCGACGGCCTGGTTGTTGTCCTTGGCGAGGGTCGGGGCCAGGTTCGAGCGGAAGCCGTGCTCGTCGGCCACGTAGTTGTTCGTCACGAGCGTGCCGTCGGGGGAGTTGTAACTGGAAGAGGGGAGGGGGTGGTCGTTAAAAATGTTTTATTTTTTTTGGCGACAGTGGCGATTTTTGGCGATATTCGCGTCGTCTTACCTGTAAGAACCGATGACGGTGCCGTCAGGGAACTTGCGCTCCTCCTTGGCCTGGTCCTTGTTGGCGTAGCCGTAGGCGTAGTTGCCGTAGTTGTCCTGGGCGTGGTACTGGGATCGGTGCTCGGCTGGAAACGCGGAAGGGTTCGTCGGTGAGGAAGGGGTGGGGTTTTATGTTTTATTTGATAAATAATGGTAAGCGGTGCGGTCGAGGAATGAGCGGTGGTTTTTGATGGTAAAAAAATAAGTAGTAAATAATAAGGCACGATGAAAAAGAAATTATGGAATTGCAGGACTTCATTTTTCATCACGGGAAGCCGCTGAGAACTTAAGGCGCTGAAATCGATCGTGAAGGGTACTGATATAAAAATTACGTTAGCCGAGGTTGAGAATATTTATGGGGTTGCCTTGAGGCCTGTGGGGCATCCGACCGCGCCCTTCTCCGCGCCGCGCGTCCTTGCTCCTGATCCTTGCGTAATTTCGTCTCTCAGGCGACCTCGCGTTTCGTCGGAAATTCGCCGTATCCCTCACTGTTTTTTTTTTCCCCCGAATAAAATCGGGAAGGAGGGGGTTTACAGCAGAGCAACTTTGGACCGGAGGCCGTCGTTTTTCCCAGCGAAAATTCAAAGCGTGAAATAAATCACGGTGAGCCGATTTCGGACGCGAAAGAGGGCGCAAACTGACTTGCGTAGGGCGCGACGCCGACGGCGAACGGATGAGCGGCGGCGATGGCGATCGCGGGCCCCTCGGGCCCGAACCCCTCCTTGGCCACGAGGGGTCCCGGGTGCTCGATCCGCACCGGCAGGGGCACGTTCCCTCCGCGGGCCACGACGCCCAGCACCCACATCAGGATCTGGAACGTGCAAATTTGTGCAAAAGTTATTCGACTGAAGTTGTCAGGCGTAGGTGACCGCGATTGTTTGAGGCTGAAATTTGTTTTCTTTTTTTTTTAATACTATTTTGTTGCTTATTTTTTTTTTAACTTTGGTTGCTTCTGTGGATTGAGTTCCTCCGTCCACTTTTACCCGAGCAATTTTTTTTTTGGCAAAAATTTTCCGACTAAGTCATCGTGAAAATTTTCGTCCAGAAAAATTTCTTCGTTTAAGAGCGTGATCGCAAGTTTTTATTTGTATTATTAATATTTTTTCTAAAGCTGCGTCGTTCTTCAATGCCGTAAAGAAAAGAGAGCCCAAGGCCACGAAATGCTGAGTCAGCCTCAAGTAATTTGGTAATTTGAGCATGGGCAAAAAATGCTTTAAAGGACCATTACGGTCTTTTTTCTGCAATTTGCACCCGATAATGTAAACACGGAATGATAAATGAACGTTTTCTCCCGCGAAACTCACCAGGGGCCTCATTGTTCTTGTGCTATCCCGGATGCGAGATATTCACAGAGAGAAACCCAACAGGCACTACAAGTCGAAATTGGCGTGGATGCCCCTTTTATACGAGGGGGAGGGGAGGACCCCGCTCAATGTCACGGGTGGCCACCGGGTGGAGCCCTACGCGGGCCGCGCGATCGCCCTCCCCAGGGCCGTTCCCGTCCCGACAGCGGCTCGTGACCTCCTGGATCGCGGGGGGACGGGGGCGGGGGCGGGAGGGGAGGGGGGGTGGTCGTCACGATGTCGTTAAGCGATCGGAGATGATGTATGTGTTTCTGGGGGGAGGTTGCGCGTGGCGGGAATGGCCTTCCCTGGGAGATTGGTGGCGATCGATGGTTATTTGACGGGATCCGTCGCCTAGGGCTTCATGCTTTGAGTGTTCGTCGCGTTTTATTGGCGAATACCGTGCTTGCTGAGTGCAAGCAGCGCGGCTGAAAATGTGAAATGGCAAATAACGAGGCTAAGATTCATCCAGAGCAATAGTGCATTTGGTCATGGTGTTCATTCTTTTGAGGAGAAAATTTTCTTTTCTTTTTCATTTCATCATGCGTGTAGAAATACAAAGGAAAGTAGACGAACTACAAGCAATGAAGACCCTTCAAAGTGCTACAGCCTATGTTTAGAAGAGAATGTATTGCGCATTAAAACGCTCGGAATTGAAGAGGATAAGTGAAAGTTTCGGATTGTTTCAGAATATTATTCCATCGTATTTTGGTGGAACTTTTTGCATGCTTCTTCCCGGCACATTTCCTCATAATTCTCTGAACTTGAACGTATCGATGTCTAATTGCGTGCACGTGCGGTGCAAGCCTCTATCGAAGGAGGCCCTCCGGTGCGTCGCACAGACGAATGTCTTATCCCCCGATGGCCTGTAATTGGAGGGGCCTGGAGCTCTCCGCGTCCTTGATCTTGTTCCGTGCCGACGGACATCCCCCCTCCCCGGGTTCCGTTTCCGCTCCGTGCCCCTCCCGTCCGAATTTGAATTGCAATCCGTTTCCCCTTGAAGGGCGGTAGAAGCTCCGGTTCCTTCTCCGGGTTCGGCAACCGCACCAAAGGAATGGCTTTGGTTGTAGTGAATGATTGGTTCCGGTACCACAATTAATGTGAGAATGTTTTCTGCCTAAATAATTGCTTTCTTCTTGCAACACAATTTTTTAAAATATTCATTTTGAGAAAAGAGCATCAATAGGTACGTTTCTAATTTCTCTCATGGCGATAGGGACTTGATTATGGTTTTATTTACATATCCGGAGTTAACCCTTTCAGACCTGAATTAAGGCCGTTATCGGAATAATATCCTTTTTTGCATTTTTGAGCTTTCTCGTGATTGTAGTTGAAATTTTCATGCTTTATATGTAGTTTTCATATTTTGTATCAATTTACCACATTATACCATATATTGTATATTAAACATTTAATTAGATAACTGAAGATTACAAAATCAATGGGTGAAAGAAGGCCTCTGATAGAACTGAGCCATGCATAATTGCGCCTATTGTAGCGTAGTATGGAGCGCAAAGTAACGAGAATCCTAAGAAATGGCCATATACGCGATGTAAATGCAATATCCAATGGAATGGACGCCAGGTCTGAAAGGGTTAAATCATGGTTAACCTTTCAGTAAAGTGGGATTTAACCCTTCAAGCGCTGAGTTTTGACTCAACCTCCTAAGTGATGAACGTAAAGTCGAACTCGGTTATAACGAAACCTTGGTTATAACAGAGTCCATTGAAGGTCCCTGGAAGGTTTTACCTGGTCCCTTCGATGACGTTATAAACGAGTTCGACTGTACGTGAAAACGACTTGAAGGGTTAAATCCATTTACACAGCCTGATTCCGGAGGAGATTTTGAATTTCTAGAAAGCGTTTTTTTTTACTTATAAATGGCCATTTTTCTGCAATTGTCATTGGATTTGGATTTGGGATTTGAGTTTGGAGTTCCACCTTTCAGGTGTCAGATATCAAGTATATAATTAAAAAAATGTCCGAACGAGTGAGGTGCGGTAAGTTACCGCTGGACTGGTAGTACAGTGTACGTCACACGCATGTGAAGGGTTGATTTGGGAATGGGAAAATGATTTTATTCTTGCATTGATTGTGGGCTCTTCTTTTTATTGAATATAAAATCTTCGTGAAAAAAATTAATTCGTTGAGATTTGACACTGTTTCACGAAAGTGAGAGGCGATGGAGGTAGAGTCGCATCACTCCATTTTCAATCATCACAGTATGTCACGCTAGAAGGACGTGAGTTTGCAGAAATCGTCTCGCACTGCGGGAGGGGGGGGGGGAATTCAATCCGTGATTACAATTACAGGGGGGGATGAGGGGAGGTGGAGGATGAAAGAGAAGGGGGGGAGATGGAGGAGGAGGAGACGGTCGAATGAACTTTCAATGTCACGTTCCGAGGAAATTATGTCTAAGGATGAGGGGATCAGTCTCCCGGAACGACTCCTGCAGCTGCCTCGGTTTTTTTAAATTATTATTATTGTTTCTTTTTGGGCTAAATTGAGACCGAAAGAGAATGTTCCTGACGGGCTTCATTGACCAGTGAAGGAAGAGCAAGTCTCCTCCCTTTGTCCGCCTTCCCCGAAATCCACTCGAAGGCCTCGAAGGACTCCCGTTTCGAATCGTGGGAAACTCCAGTCATGGGAAGAGGGAGGAGGAATTTTCTTCGCCGTCATTTTGGCGGGGATTATGCAGGGCCGAGGCCTTGCCGCCGGTTCAAGGGGAGACGCGACGCTGATCTGACACGCGCTGAGAGTCCGACGGGTGACACGTGGAATTGCCACGCCTGATCGAGCGGGAAGGCGGTTCGATCGAAGAGGAGTAATAGCGGGCTGTGTCGTGTTCTCTCTCGGGTCTGGGTTTCTAGGCATCTTTATGCATTCGGTTGTCGATCAATTCGAATCATTCATTGTGCAGTCCGCACAATATTGTGGCAATCATTTCATAAGTAATGCCTTACTTGATAAGTGAGTATGCATTTAGTGAGAAAATTATTCATTGGATGGATGAACGAACACGCGAAGTTCATAGCCCATTGGATTTAGATATCCATCATTGAATTAGTGTCAGCTCGTGATTGATGATCGGTGGAAATCATCACGGGATCAGTTCATCGCAATGATGAGTTTAGGCGGAGGAGGTTCAAAGTTCAAGGAGAACGAGAAAGGTCGACTCGTCGAGGTCCATCAATCTATTCGATTGATGGACGAGTCGGCGAGTACCGGGGAATGATGGATGGGTCACGTCGGCCAGAGCGTGGATGAAAAAATTAGTGGAGCAATTCGATCGAGGATTTGAAGGGGGGGCGGGGGGGGGGGTTGTGTTGTTATGCGCATTCCCTGCGCGCCTTCGATGTCCTTTGAAGGCAGGGCAAGGATGAGGAGGCTGCGTCCTAGTAATGGACGGGGGAGCACCGTGATGCATGAACATCGTTAGCCGTGGGAGATATCCTCTCGGCATCCGGTCCGAATGCACTTCCACGCCCCATAAAATCCTCGAACTGCCACGTTGAGGTAATAGAAAAATTCCTTGAGGCATTTCTTTTCAAATGCGGATCAAGAAGAGGGAGGCGGAAGGGCGGCCTTTTCCTCGTGCCTGGCCGGGGACGTGGAAGGGAGTCAAGGTAAAGGTCAGACGTAGCGCTGAAGGGGAGGGCGGGGCAGTAGAAGGGGAGGACCCACTGCCGTCCTCCTTATGGAAGACGAAAGCCTACGAAATAGTACTGGGGAGGCAGAGTTGCATCTCGGAGAGCGTCATGTGCTCCCCTGTGTCCCCGCCCCTAATTGCATTAAGCAACCTTGTCATATCTTTGAATTTCCAGGCCCGTAGCGCTAGTGACATCTGGTGGTTTGAGGTAAGGCAGCCTGAACTAAGAGATGGTATTAGCTTACCTTCAATAGCTTCATGGACAGTGGCGCCACTCTTCTCACTAGTGTCGGTATTTGAAGCTCTTTTGGTATCAATCAGTTCCATCGGCGCACTCAGCCCCAGCGAGGGACATAACTGTTCTCAACGAATGAATTTTACTTGAGAATTTACGGCTTTCTTTGGTCCTGATGATTGCGTTGTTGGCACTTTTTGGATTCTCCGAACTCGAGCCCTTTCACAAACAGCAGAATGAGTCTGAAATTCCGCCAACAATTCCTTGTATGGTTTACAACAGGGATGTCAAACTGGCCGCCCCTTCAACAGTTGGTTACGGAAAAGCGCTGCAAGTTTCAGCCTGTTTGCATTAAGGATTGGGTGTTAGGTTCTTATTGTGGCCCTTAATGACCCATGAAAGATTCCATCCGGCCCGCAGCCTCATCGAGTTTGACACCCCTGGTTTAGAATATCGTACCTTATCTTCGTCCTGGGTTCTTGGCCTGATCCTTGGCAAAACGGGAGTGAAGCAGTGGCGCGTCGATTTTCAAATTGGGAGGGATTTGGGGGGGCAGAAGCGTAAGGGGGGGGGACGATAATGGGCAAAATGTGTGTTTTACATTGGGGGGGGGGGGGGGGGGGGTCCAGGGTTCATACGTCCTCCCCTCCCCCTGGTCTATGCTTTTGAGAGGGAGCTAACACGAAATTAGCTGGGCTGGAGGGGCGGACGGTGACAAAATATGGTCAGGGTGAAGGCTACTGGTCGCATTGCCTCCCCCCCCTCGCCTCCATTACTTTCTAGACGCGTCTCTGGAATAAAGGATCTAGAGCGACATGGGATCTGTTCGTGCCATGAAACCTCATCCTAACTTTTTTTTTTTCCTTTTATCGATTCTATTCATCTTCTATACTTCTTCCTCTCTCAACACAGAATCACTCCAGCAAATTTGAAGCTCGATCTCCCGGGGGTTGTGGAGATCACTGAATCTCGCTTTTGGGAGATGTGAAAGTCGTTCCAGTATTTGTTTTTTTTTTCTCCCCTCCTGGGTTGCCGCTCCTGGGAAGTTTTTGGAGGAAAGAGACCAACCAAACGAAAGATATTGACCTGGAGGTGACAAAAAGTCTCTTTTTTTGTTTCAGTGCACCATTTCGCCCTGAAAAATGAATTTAGATGCCGTTAATTTAGGCTTAGCGTGATGGGTCCAGTCCCGTCCTCCAGTGTTGCCGGATATCGTGCCTTAGTTATCCTAGATTCATGACTTCATCAGCCTTAGTATCGTTGTCTGGATTTTCTCTTTTTAATGTAGGAGACATTAATGCGCTGAATTCAGGGGATGAACTGAGATTGAAGCGGTGTTTTGCAATGGCCGATCGATTTAGTGGAATACGGAGATATCTCATTCGGACATCCCTAAAGTAACATGATGGCGGCCAGCTCGTTTTTCATGCTTTCTAAAGGCACCTGGGAACGAGTCGAGACGATTCGAGGAACTCTGGATAGGCCTAATGTTCCCCAACCGCACCGAAATGGCTCATGAAACTCGTAAAAGACCTGCATTTGATCTAACGTTACACGTCCTCAACGAGGTGTTTCGATGACCAGGGATTAATCCTTATAGGCCTAATTGATCCGTAGGCCGAGGATTGAGTTTCTTTTGAACGAAAAAAGGTAGGCCTTGGCCTGATCCGATGACAACCCGTCGGTTAGGCCTAGGCCTAACGTCAGTGAGTTCTGTAGAGAAGGTGGGGGGGTATTGAGATTGAGGTTGAGATTGAGGTTGAGATTGAGATTGAGGTTGAGATTGAGGTTGAGATTGAGGTTGAGATTGAGGTTGAGATTGAGGTTGAGATTGAGGTTGAGATTGAGATTGCTGAGGTTGAGGTTGAGGAAAGATAAACCATTGAAATAGGTTTTCACATTACTACATACGCTTATAGTGAAAAGACTGTAGTCGCATTGACGTCTAAATTGTCGCTTTTCAACGTCATGAGAATGAATAAATTGAATAACTTCAGTTTGCTGGCAGGCGCAATCCAGCATCATATCGTATCCCAAGAACCACATATCCAGAATTCATTGCATTCTAATTTGGGAATACGTTATTGTATTCAGTGCTTCTGATTTCACGCTTGCATCTCATTCTGACTGTGGGGAGGGGCTGTCCCAGACGATTTCGGCTAACGCGTTCCGCCATAGGGACTCGAACCGTGTGAGGACAAAGCCCGGTCTCACTCCCTCAAGTGACATCCGGGAACTTCCGGTTCCTTATTATAAACTATTGTGCTTCGTGACCTTGCCACTGATTCCAATGGGGGTTCTAATTGCCTTCGCCTTGTCGGGGGCCCCTCGACGATGACGGTGCGTTTTTTTGATCATCCTTGTTTCGTCTGTTGCTTGGGGGATGTTGCTTTCACCTGAAAAAAAATTAGAAATTTTCTTTTTGTTGCGATAAGACTGGATTCTGATCTCTATTCGCCTCTAGCCGCAATATGATAGGCGGTGATAAGAATCAGGGTGTGACAAGGGGGGTGAACCCAGTGATAATTCAAAACCTACGGTTTCAGTTGAGACGCGTCAAGGTCAGGAGAGTGCCGTGATAGTAAGGAAATGAGGCTGAAGGCGGATATACGGTACAAAAAAGAGGGAAGGGGTTATTATTATCTCAGAGAGTTCTTTTAAGGAATTTTCTAATGGACCAGAGAGCGGCCTTGCCCCGGGACAAGGCCTCAATTGTCATCGGGCGTTCACTTCACCCTTCCGGGAGTATTCCGTGTTTTTCCCCCCCCCCTCTTCACCGCCGTCTGACATATCAATATATATCGTCGATGGAGAAACGTCCTTCTGCTGGTCAGTTTTGTCTTTCCCTACCCATCTCATGGATTGGCAGCGGTCGCCTCCTCGTCTGATTGGAAAATCTTGAAGTTATTGCATCAGAACAAAGTTATGGGTCGTTACAGTTTCTTTCGAGGACTGTACGCCAAGCGTGGAGCGCAATTTACGTCTTGATGTCACACCTTAACTTACTGAGAAAAAAATTATAAGATTATAATCATTTTAGGTACAGAATGTGCCTAGGAGTTTGGGCAGCCACTGTTTTTTTAGCCTTAAGTCCCTCTTTGTCAGAATGTAGACCAAGTGGTTCAAACAGCAAATGGATAGTAAAACAGTAAATGGGGTGATTGAATACCAAATGTCCTCCACTCCCGATAAGCGATCAACTTAACTTTTTTTTCTGAGCTTGGAGTGCATTCCTACTGTTGAGATCGACCTTGACAGAAGTCAATCAGGCCTCTCCTTTTTTCTCTCTCTATTAACCTTGTCTGTGTATTTCATTTATGACTTATTTAACCTGGACGTATTATGGAGCAAGCATGCTTCCATCCTGCTTCCACCTTGACTCTAAAACGTTTTGACGTGCTCGGACTATGACACCAGGAGTTCGCCTCGGTTTGTTCCGCGGTAATTTTCCACGCTTTAATTTGCTACGAAGCGCTTTTGCTGCAAATAGCCTGGAGAGCGCATGCAAATCTGCACCCTGGCATTGACCTTTGAAAAGGTTAATCAGCTTACATTTGAAAAGGTTAATTGTCTTGGAGGGAAAAGCCTGCCTCATGGTCTGTCCGGAGCGCTTCATATATATTTCACGAGAGGGTGGAGTAGGCTTGAAAGGTTCTCATACTGCAAGGAAGTTTTCCAATAGGATAGAAGGACATGCCTGAAAATTTGCAATACTTTTACTGCCTGTTGGAAAAAATCGTGATAATCTCCAAATTGGGTTGAGGGACGTTTCTTTCGAATTTCGTGCGCATGCATCCATCCATTGCTTCAACTTTCCCCTCGAAGGAGCAGGGTTTTTGCAGAGTAAACTTGAGCATGAAGGACTGGGGGGGGGGTTGAAATATTTATATTCTGCATCATACGAGATATACCAGGTATGTCATGTCTTGTATGACGAAAACGTAAGGAGTACCTCGAAAATCTCCAGAAATTATCAGTCTGCTGCTGGTGATGGGTTTCCATCCGATCGGTCTCGTTCTTGTTTGTGGGATTTCGGTCAAGCAGCTCATCCAGTCAATTTATTATTATTATTATTGGAATTTCGAAACGCCAACTCCTATTTTCCATTCATTTCTTGTCCCATCGGAAGAGGAGCTGCAATATTCTCATTGTCTAGTGTAGCTGCTGGCTGTTACGAGCCCGATGCCCGAGATCCTGCCGAAGGGCCATAAAAGAAGGAAAACGCGTAATGAAGGACGCTTGGCCCCCTCTCCAGCAGTGAACGCCCTGGGCCATCGTCTCCTTGTTTGTTTCGCTGCCTTGACACTCGCTTCACGTGCATGACGAGACTTGCATGCGATGTGGGTTTCATTTAGTGCAATACCAAGAAAGGCACCTTGAGAGCTCGGAAAGGAGATCGATCGTGCTTCGTTTTCCCCGTAGGTTTTTTTCTCCATGAGACGCTCTAAAATTCCGATGGGTTTTCATTCGATCGATCCACATTGAATCTCGCACGTGGAAAGGCTGATTTTCAATTTTCTAGCACAGTATTAGTGCAATATTCCAGTGAAGACTTTTAATGTTGCATCATTGAGGTCAGAGAGGCATTGGAAGGATTGCAGATTGAGTGGGGGAGATCTCATGAAGTGGTTCCTATTTTTGTTTAGCTTTTTTTGGCGTTCTCGTGAGGAAAGAAAATGAGAGGCGGGATGTACAAAAAACACAGACGGCAATACTTTTATTGAGCGAGTCTGAACACACGGGAACACAAGACCGGAACACAGGACAAGTCACGTGGACATGTGGGAAGGTAACATCCGATTGGCATATTGATCCCGATGTGAACAACTTTTTGGGTTTTTCTTTTACAGTCTGGTCAATATGACTTCATGCCCGGTGGAATCCCAATTTTTTTTTTTGTTTTCTTAAAGAAGCAGACAGGGAGACACGAGACGAGGAAGCAGGGGAAGAAAACGACGAAATTACTCATTTAATAGTGGTAGCCATAGTTGAAGGACTTGTAAGCCGGCGCGGCCCAGGGGTCGGCCTTGTAAGCGGGCACGGCCCAGGGGTCGGCATAGGCAAGACCTGCCTTGTAGGCAACGGGGGCAGCATGGGCATAGGGAACAGCGTGGCCGTAGGCGAGGTGGGGTTCATAGGCGACGGCGACCTTGGGGGCGAAGTCCTTGGCGGCCGTGGGAGCCAGGCTGGACCTGAACCCGAATTCGTCGGCGACGTAGTCATTCTTGGTGAGGGTGCCGTCAGCGTTTACGTGGCTGCAAGAAAGAAGGAAGATTAGGAGATCTGTGGGGAAGTAAAGCCGTTCGAAGTCACGTGCATCGGATCGAGGCAGCTTAAATTGATATTGCGTTTTTCATTGGATTCTGAGGAAATAAATTTTGCTCTGATCAGGGATTGTCGGATGAATTAAGTATCGGTTGTCGATCTATTGCGTGCCATCAACTGCCCGAAGAACGTTTATTTTCCATGCAAGTACATTCCCGTTGCGGCATCACATTAAAGTAAGATTTACTCGAAGCGTTCACGAATAAGAGTAGAGGAAAACGCGGTTCCAAAATTAGTGCAATCCCATGCGAAACCCTGGAATAGAAACCTCGTACACCAGCGCCCGATCAAGGTGACCCTAAGCAAGGAATCCCCCCCCCTCCCTCCTCTCCACACTCTCCCCCCCTCCCCCCCCTCAAGCAATCGAGTTCCGGCTATTTCGAAACGTGCCATTCACGCTGCCCTCTCGCCCGAGTCCCCTCATTCGCGAAGGCCGTGAGACCGAGGGTGGGGAACCACGCCGATTATCCCTCCTTTTCGATCGACCTTGAGCCCCCCCATCCGTAATGGACTCCCACGGAGAGGAGGAAGCGGAACAGGCCGCGCTGCGGACGGCCGAGAGCGGAGTGGACGCTGACCTGTAGGAGCCGACGACCGTGTTGCCGACCTTGGTCTCCTCCTTGGCAGAGTTGCTGTCTGCGTAGCCGTAGTTGTAGTTGCCCCATGCGTCCTGAGAATGGGATTTCGGTCAATTTAGATTATTTTTAAAGTGAGCAGTTGGAAATTTACGAAACGTTGAACAAATATGTTTTTATTATTATTTTAATTTCTGAATTTTAAAATTATTTTTCCAGTATGACTTGAAAAGAAAAAACTGGGAAGTTTAGCAAGTAACTGAGCAGCGGTTTGGCAAGTTTTAGTTTGAAAATGCATGAAAAGGGGGGCTATGAGAGATGGGAAAATATTGAAAAATGTTAAGGCAGAGAAGATTTCAATACAACTTTTCGTAAGTAAGTTCCTGATTTGGGTTGTGGGAAGCGGGAGCCCTCTAAGTCGAAATTGCGGCTCTTTTCATTCGAAAGCCGAACGTCAGCCCACCTGGGAGTGGTGTTGGTGCCTGGGAGCATAGACGGCATGGAGGGACTTGACGACGGGGACGGCGTGGACGACGGGGACGGCGTGCTTCACGACGGGGACGGCATGGACGGCGTGCTTCACGATGGGGGCCGCGTAGCCGTAGTCGTGGTAGCCGTGAACGTAGGGGGCGGGGGGAGAGGCCGCAGCCACAGCCATCAAGGCGCCCAACACAACCTGGTGGGGAAGAGGTCGAGTTCAACCCTTGTTCGAATGTCGTTTTTGGGTCGACCTTTCGAGTTATGAGATGTTACTCGCGTTTTCACTTTTGGCAGCGGAACGTTCGATGAAGGAGTCGTTGAAAGTATCGTAGAAAGGTGTAGCAGGTTTTAAATAATCATTTCACGTCGGACCGAAATTGGATTAAATAGATTTCATGATATTCCATGATATTTAGCAGTTACTCATCGTGTGCTCGAGCAATGGCTTGGAAAACTTCATCTGATATATTTACAAACTCTAATTTGATTTAAGAATTTACCCAAGGAGTCTCGAGAGGAAGAGGAGAGCGAACTCACGAAGGAGAGCATGTTGAATCTGGAGAGTTCCTGCTTCGTGAAAGCACTGAACAATGCAGAGAGAGGAGACGGAGCGATTCGAGGCAGCCCGGGCCTTTATATATCCTGTGGGTGAGGAAATGAAAAGGGCGAGACCTTCAAGGTCCTCTGGGCAGTGCCTCGGTGCCTCTCGGCATCAGGTCCGGGATGAAAAGATTTTTCGGTCATCTGTTAATTTCCCATTCTCGCTGCCTCCGGCGGTTCGTCCCCGGGGGCGCCACTGCACGCCCTATCATAACGTGTACTTCCCCCCCCCCCCCCCCCCCCCCCCCCCCCC